GATGGATGAGACGCGGCTGGGCCGACCGACTGAGCCCCGACGAGCTCGCCCCCGTGGCGACGGAGCGACCGACACGCGGGGGCGACGGAGACCAAGAGAGAAACGGCGAGATGACGGAACGACGAAGACGTCGACGGTTGGGAGACTGGCGCCTGGGGGGGAATAAGGCGTCAGGAGGGGACAGTCGCGCCGTCGGATCGTCGACCCAGACGACGAGGGGACGCCGCGACGGCCACGACGCGGTGACGCGTCACAGGGGCTGCCAGACGGGGTGGGGAGCGGCAGTGGGACCGGCACCGGGGAATGCGAGGTAAAACAGAGCGATACACCCGGCGTGATGATGAATGAGGGTGTGACGGTAGGGGAGAGGGGTGGAGGACTGCGCTCTCTGGCGCCTCGTCCTCGCTCCCTCCGTCGGGACACACGAGGAGAGACAGGCTGGCGACACAAAGTTGGCGGAATGGCGAGGTTATCTCGGAGAGTGCTGGGCAAGATTGAGGCCAATGGATTTCTTGACGCACAGAAAATGAACTAACGATAAAAGTTTATCATAAGCAGGCAGAATGGAACGGGAAGTATGCATCCAATCATGGAAGGTGAGCAGATGACAGATGATGACACGAGGGCATCATGGGTAATAACCTCGAGCAGTGGAATGCTCTTCTAGAATCTCGTCACAGAGATGAGAGAGGTGCCGAAAATGACAGCTTTGGCACGTATCAACGGCGCACGGTTATTTCCGAGACCAAGTAAGACAAAGTAAATCATGCAGGTACATACTAGATGATTCATATACGAGTAGATATACATATGAGACACGTGCGCGATTCGTCCGTTACGCTTTCCCCTACCACCTAACCGCTCGTATCACGTCCCGTGTCTTCCGGGTACCAATCAAGGCATTTATATCAATTTCTTCCACAGGTGCACCTAACTGATGTCTCCAAATGTGTTTCACTTTTTCTCCAAGACGCGGCACATGGTGCCATTTTTACCCACTTAGAAAGCTCCGCGTAGCTGCGTCCATTTGTTCGGTGCCATGCCATCCGTGATTTGGGCGGCTTTTGTAAATTAAACTGACACCTCGGCAGTCCCGGCTGGCTGTGGTCGGCCGTCCTCCAACACATGTCGAGCTCGCCGCCGCTGTTGTGTTCATTTGTGCTGCGTGCGTCCAAAAGCGGCCGGCACGCCGCGGTCATTTTTTCTCGCTGAGATGGTGGTGACCAGCTGTGATGCGATATGTCCGCGGCTATCCCACTGCGCCAGATATGAGCCCGGTGCGCCATTTGTGGAGCAGATGGATGAACGAAACGTGCGATAAGAAATATGTGAGTCATTCGGTCACTTCGATAATTATTCGAATTACGCAATGATGCGTTGATCGATTGGCCAACGACACATTTGAAATATGATAGTGACGACATAAAATGGTGCTCACGTACCATTAACATCATTAGTGATGATATTTTGGATCCCATATTTAGTGATTATATTCTAAGAAGAAAAGTAGCAACGATTTTTTCGAATAAAGATAAGAACATATGCAGCCGTTAACAACACGAACAATTATGGTGTCACCATAACAAATAAACCGTTCCGCCGTGTCTAACAAACACTGAGCAGTCTGTCGGACGGCAGCCTGAACACGATCTGCAGACTGTTGTCTGCGGTGGCGGCAGCTGGTGTCTGTCTCAGACAGCTGTCTCAGCAGGCAATCCCCGTGCCTTCCGACTGTCCAGATGGTCAGGGCGCTGCACCTCACTTGAACGGAGCCGCCCCTTCTGCAGCCGGCGAGAGGCGAGACGGAATAATAATGGCACGACTGAAACGGAGACGGGCAATGCCCAGATAAGTCGAAAAGAAAGGAGACGAGCAAGTGGCCAGGAAAGTCCAGTATTGTTTGAAATAAGTGGATCCGAAATAAGAAAAAGAGTGGACGCGAAATAAATGGATCGTTAAAACTAAACCTGAAATGCATCTGCTATGATTCTCTGAAAAGGTCACACATTATCAAAAGGTTAAATGCTTTCCATTCAATGTTACGTCTATACGAGCAATACCCAATTGAATGTCCAGCTCTTTACAGCACCAATATTGGCTCGCTTCTTTTCAGGCAACTAATGGTGTGACAACAGCTCCCCTACCGCAAACACCAGACGGCAGGAAGTCTGTCGGTCGGTGCACATTTGTTAACCAGTTTCCCGGTGTCCAGCCGCCTTCCCCAGTGTTCCGCCGTCCGGTCGCTGTTTTTCTCAGCGTGTAGAGTGGGCGTCGCCCGGTTTTCTTTCCCTCTGTGTGGTCTAGCGCCCCATATATCCTCCGCTGAGCAGCCCAACAGCCGTCGCAGATCAGATGTATTGGGCGCACGGTTTGGGGACGTCGACACCACTGGACACCTGAGCGGAGCAGAAAAACTGACCGCAGCCAATGGCCACGTCCAGGCGGGCACGAGCTGCCTGCCGAGGGAGAGGGAGGGGCAGGGCGGCGCCCACCGGGCCGCTTACCCCGAAATATACGGCCGGTCACGTCTCACGCGTATGGTCGCTGCGGGGAACCCAACACCGCCCCGTGGCAGGAGGTCCGGGGGACGGGAGTGCTGGACCGATACAGGGAGGGGGGACGTGGGTCAGGGTCGGCCACACCTTTCCGAGCTGGCTGCTGGGGAGATAAACAATGTCCCAGTCAGCCCCGCACGCATATCGTGCTTACGTCTACAAGACAAGCACCCAGCTAGAACTTGGTGAATAATATTTGGATGTCTATCCTTGACGTCGTTGATCTTACTCCCCTCCTCGAATGACAACAACGCGATTGCTGATTGCATATTTTTTCAGCATGCTACTCTAAGACTTGTGCTACAATGTTGATGTGTGGATTCCCCACATGGTCAGAGGAAAAATGGACTTGTGGGCTCAACCACTGGTTCTTCTACATGATTTCAGGTGGTTCGCGTGTCTTCACGTCCGATGCTCAGAGTTATTTATTGGCAGACCGAGCTGCCGATATTTGGCAGCAACAAGCAACAAGCGAGCTTCTGCTCAGCTTTGCGGTTCATGGGATAAAAACAAACGTTGCAAAAGTCGCAAAGATAATCTCCCATGACCACAGACTACAGCCAGATTTCATTCCCTGCTACAAATGTTGATAAACAAACTTCAAAGCCGTCTTATCTTTTCGGTAATAAGAATTGAACATTCAAAATTGATCTTTGGGAGGAATTGCGCTGAACCATTCTGTTGCCCACTCCTATCAGTGAAAAAGAGTGACTACATTTTCCGTATTTGCTTTACCAAAAGAATCTATCCGTGTTACCGCGTAATCGAATGCAGCCAATTCCTCCACCCTTAGCCACCTACATATTTACCATCCCATGACACGGAGTTTCGATCTAACCCTTCCACACCCGGCACCGCTCCTGCCCTTTCATCCTCACCTCCCAGCAGCCCTCCCTGGGTGCGCCCCTGTCTGTTGGAACAATGGGCGCATGCCACAGCCGCCGGTGTTACAGGCGGGTATAGGCGCCTCAGCTCCTTCCACCAGGGATAGCCCTTCGTGCCCGGCGTGACTCGAGCAGCCGCGGCACGTGGAGTCAGCACGCTGGGTGTCTGACTGCGGCTGCCAGTGACGTGGGTCCCAGGAAAAGGTGTGGACAGGAGGAGGAGGAGAGGCGAGAGAGAGAGGGAGAGAGAGAGAGAGAGAGAGAGAGAGAGAGAGAGAGAGAGAGAGAGAGAGAGAGAAAGAGAGAGAGAAAGAGAAAGAGAAAGAGAAAGAGAAAGAGAAAGAGAGAGAGACAGCTAAGAAGAGAAGAGAGGAGGATAGAAGAAAAGATTATAAAGGAGGAGAAGAGTAGAGAGACAGACAGACAGACAGACAGACAGACAGACAGACAGACAGACAGACAGACAGGCAGGCAGACAGACAGACAGAGAGACAGACCGTCAGAAAGAGAAATGGAGGAGAGGAATGAGAATGAAGGAAAATAAGAGCGAGGGAGAGGAACGTCAGAACGGAAAATAGTCCAGCACCAAGCGGACACGGCTGCTCTCGAATAAATCGGTAGGAAAAACAAACGGCTAAATTGCCGGCCTGGCCGGGTGATATGAACGAGTAATTACTGGGCATTAACTTGGGGCGGTATTTTGTCTGCCGCCCAGCCAGCCTGTATTGTTCTTGGAGAGCGTCCGAGCTGTTTTTCTGGGCAGACGCGGAAGAGCTTGGAGTCGTTAATATCAGAGGCCGTATTGCCTCTTTCCGCCGCCCCCGCTGGGTACAAATAGATTTCCGTGTGAGACGGCCGTCTGCAGGCGAGTTGTGCGGCTGTGATGGACATGTTTTTTGAGGCGTGAATCACAGTCAAATCTGGCTGGACAGCGGCGATGTGTTTACCTCGGTGCTCGCTCGAATCGTAGCCCGCGAGGAAACGCGCGTCTGTTTTCCGCAGAGGGTGAGACTGACGCGACTCTTCAGTCAGTTGAACTCTCACCAAGCTACCTCGGCTCCGTAGAACTACCATCGCCGCCCGTCCACCGGAAATTCTGCGCGCCGTCCGTTCGCACGCGAAGGAGCCGCCCTCCCGACATCATCTCCGGAGTCGGCTCACAAGGAGGTCACGAGTTGGCGCAGTGTCCGGGCTCACGCGGCGCCCGTGGGCATTCTTGTCGACTGCGCTGCGTCTGTGTGTACCGGGCCTCGGGCGGCGCGTCGAGGATTGGTGTCGCTCACCCCGCCCTCCGCCCGGCGCCGCTCGGCCCTCCGAGCCAGCCGAGCCGGTCGGACAGCGTCCCTCGGCTCACCGGCGTCCCTCCGTCCCAGGCGCCGGTCTCCAGGTACACAGGTCCAGCCATCGTACCTGCCAGCGGCCCGGGTAGACTCGCCAAACACACCACCGCACCTCAGCGTACCCGAGCGCCGCCGCCAGACGGCGCCTAGCGAGCGGACCAAGGCGCCCGCGGGGTCGGCGGCGGCGGCGGCGGCGGCGGCGGCGGCGGCGCCGGCTCGCGCCAGTCGTGCTGCGAGGAACCTGCCGAGCGGGGTGGTGTTGTGCCGTTGCTGACGTTACTGAACCGTACTGTACGCCGTCGGAGAGGCCAGTCGAGCGGTGCTCCGACGCGGTGCTAACTGAGATTGGTGCGCTTGGTGAGGAGCTGCGGTTTTATTTCTGAGGAAGTGGTAAACTATGCTGGCGCAGTGACGCGGAGAACGAGCGAACTTCACTTCAGCGACATGTATTGGATTTGTGGATTGCTCTTAGCAGGTGAGTTGGACTTTGCCGGTCCGAAATTAATGAAATTTGTTGTTCTTCTTGTTCTTGCTCTTTTTCACTTCACATTCTGGTACATACTCGTTGTCCAAACGTCGGCCTTAAATCCACACCTAGCTCATCCCGGACGACCCTTTCCATCATCCATCTCGGCCAGTCACCTATACTTTCATCTCGCGCCTCGACTGCTCGCTGATTTTCTCCTTCTATACCCTTGCAAAAACTCGAATCGCCTTCTGATTAACCCCGACTCCCCCTGCATTGTTGCACGCCGCATGCGCGTGTGCGCGTCCCAGGTGGTGACCAGGGGTGCTGACTGGTGCGCGGTGGGGTGCCACCCGATCGGGGTGTAATTAACTCACTGAGGCGCCTCCCAGCAGGCCTGTGCACCCCTGGATTGTACCCTGCACCCGTCTGCACCCGTGTGCACCCGTGCAGATTCAGCGGTCAGGGCCCGGTCACCGTCCGACAGGCAACACGAGCCGTATTTGGTAGCGTCCGCGCCACCTGCATGAACCGTGTGCTGAGCCATGCGCCGCCGTGAGCTGAATCGAAAATGTAATCGCCCTTATATGTAAGCCCGGCAGCCCTACGGTGCAAAGTCGGCATTGAATGCATCATGGGCGCTTTGTTGGCTATTCAGACGCAATTACCTTTGTTTAGGAGCTGTGTGATTACGGTGGATAGTTAATAAGGAATATCTAAAACATTCCAGAGCAAATTACAGGATATTCAGAATCGCTGGTTTATGCGACGTCCTCGCAGTTTTAACCCATTCTGGTCTATAATATTTGGTTCATTATACAAAATAACGATAAAATTGTGTATCTCGACAATAATGGCTTGTTTATTAGGAAAGACGCATGGGAAAGGAACAGACGAAGTGTCAGTTTTTATGCAGAGTTTTCCCTGGGAGGTCGACTGACGAAATAGTTTCCCTAACGATTGGGAGCTGTCGACGCCTTTCCGGCCCCGTTTTCAGTGGCTCCGTTTCAAGTATTAATGACCGCGGCTAACGATCACGGTTTACATGAGCTAGGAAAAAGGAATTCTGAACGGCCTGGCCAGGCTAGCCCGCCGGGCGGCGAGCCGCGCAGCCCGCTCCAGATTCGGCCACTTTCCTCTCCGTTTTCGTCCACGTCGATAGCAGAAGTTGGCGCTGACCTCGGCTGGTTTTGGGCGCGTGACGCCAGCCTGAGCGTAGAAAATAGAGCCGGCATCGACACCTTTCTGGAAGCCGAGTCATCGCGGCGGCTGTCTGCCCGTCACCGTCCGATGCACGTCGCTGCCGCGCCGGGCACAGGTCAAAGCGCAGGACAATGCACAGGACACGGGAAAGCGGCAGCGGGGGCGTTCACAGGACCGAGAATGAGTCGCGGGATCGGGAGCGAGTACAGTGGACGCGACACGGAACAGTGCGCCGACGCATGACACATTTCTGTCAAGAATAGATGCGCTGACGTGTAACGTTTCGCTCCGAGCACAGCCATTTCGAGCCCAATTGACACCCCTGTCGCCTGTTTGCCATAATTTCTCAACCGCTTTCTGACCACGAACAAACATAAAGCTGTCCGTGTCTGCAGCATAAAATGTCGAAATGAGGGACGACCGTCACGTTATCTGCATGAGCACGTACGACGTCAAAGCCTGAGGCGCGCTCGGCGGCAGCACGTGAGGGAAGGGCAGGACGGTGTCCCAGATTCGCGGACGATCAGCACTCGGCTGTCCCTGGGTCCAGCTAGCCTGAGGCAAGGGTGGCCAAAACGGGTACGAAGCGCCGCCGGCGTGGGCAAAGGACCCAGTTTCGGCACCCGCGTCCCTCGGTTTTCGCCGTCTGGACGCACCCAGACCGTCCTTATCCGACGATTTACGACGTCTGGCGCCGCTTTTCGAGACAATTTACGTGCGGACGGCGGCAGTAATCTGGTAAAACACGGCCAAAACTCGACTGTGCGCGACCATTGTTCGCTTCTCACCTCACCGAGCGTCGACTACGAGCTGCCAATGGGCCGCTAACCCCACCGACTTTTGTCACGGGCTCGGCGCGCCGGCGAGCGGCGCAGGGGCGCCTTCTCGGCGGGTATTGAGGCCGAGCCGGCAGGCGCGGGGCGCGGGGAGTCGCTTTCAGGCGCTGTTCTCACCTGTCCGCAGGGTCCGCCCCTGCGACCGCGTCCAGTCATCCATCATCGCATCGCATGCAAACACGACCCGGGCCCGGGGCGGTCGGGCTGGGGCGGGTACACAGAGCTGAGGGACTGACCCGGTACAGGGCGAACAGCAGGAGACGCCAGGTGACACGGGCGACCGTGGGGACGACGGGCGAAAACAGAGAAATGGCTGGAATAGGTCATATACAACAGACCCCAACGACGGCTGGATATAACAAGTCTATTGATAACACATACCCTGACTGAGCCCAGCGCAGTTGCGCAGAATTGAAAGGGTTCAATCCGGCCCGCACTTCTATCGTGACCGACAATTATCAGCGACAAAAGGCTGTTTAAAGCGTTTGAAATGCACGCCGCTCTGGGCCCAGTCCCGTTGTGAGTTCAAGTCCGGTGATTGTCCGGCGAAAACAATGGACGGCCGATTGTGTTCCCGACGAATACATGGCTCGTGCCTCTCTCGACATGAGCATTCATCAAAAGGAATGCGCACGCTCTTAGATGGCCATAATTGAATTAGTCTGACAAAGAACGACTAAAATTGCTATGGGTGGTTGAATGAAGCAGCGTGATGTAAATCTTAAATCATGGCTGAATCTAGCTGGAAGGTGAAAGTCACTACAAATTCATATTTCATTCTGAGTAAAATTGCTTATCAATACGGTACGGCAAAAGATACTACCAACAGGTAACTAGCCAGTGCTTCACACTTGCATTTATTTGATGCATTTGTAACTGTCACATGTTACGATGGTGCCACACGATTATACGCTATTTCGCAACAATCGAGTAGAATCTAGATGCAAGATTATAGCCTCGTTTATTTTGAAGTTCAAAACATCCTATCCAGTTCTATTGTTGTTCGTAATCACCATGTTATCAAAATGGCGGCACCGGTGTGAAAAGGATATTGTAAGGACATGTAAAACTGAAATAACAGAAGAAAAGACTCGAAACTGGAGCGTATCATAACACGAGATCGAAGTCAGCTACAGAAATAGTGCTGCAATAATAGTCTGCAAAGTGTGCAGTGCTCGGGGCCTACTATAGGCGCACCATACTTACGCTCAACAGCTCTAATTCCCTCACCCTCCACCTTTCTCCCGACATCGACAAACGCCCCACAGCCGGAGATCCGCCTCGTTCCGCGTCTCTTCCGAATCGTCTCGGCAGTGGCCACGATCGGGATCCCAGGAGGGGCCGGTTAGCGTGGTTCCTCTCCCACGCCGCCACCCCAACTCCCGGAGGAAGGCGCCCGCCCGCGTGACCGCACTTCCGCCGCAGTGATGACCAACGGTCGCTAACAATGATCATCACCCCAACGGCTGCCGTCTTGCAAGGCGGCGGCCGTTGGATGTGTTTTTGAGAAGGAAGTTGGCCTTTTAATTCTATTTTGTAAGTAAGCTAATCTGAATTGGTAAGAGTCTACCCACGTGAAGCGAGACGCTGCTTTCATTGGTACCTACATAAGAAACATAATGGACACTAAAACGTTAAAACGTACCCATTGTGCTTTAACACATGAAACTAGGGACTGACAAAAACAGCAACCACTCTTGAACCCTTCCCGGTAATTCTCATTCTCCCAAAGCACTGTAAAATTTCCCTCAGAAAGTTGGTCATTTTCTGCTCCACGCTTCCAAGGAATCACGCACGTCCAGTGCCAACCAGCGAGGCGCAACTTCGCGCGTGAGAACTGCACAAGTATCGCCCAGTGGGCACAGCCCGTGAAGGCCACTTGGCTGGTACGGCTCGCCTCGAATCCTGCTGGACATAAAGACGACTTTGAAGTGCCTGTTTCAGAATATGGTCAAAGAAGGAGTTCCAAGTCTCTAGCCAGGGTCGTAGGGATCATCCAGACCGAGACGGATCGAGTTTCTGCAGAGTGCCGAGATAGCCCGGGCGGCGCACGAGCTATCCGCACGGTGCTGTCATGACCGCAGCAGGAGGCCGGGCAGGGGTGCTGCGTATGGAAAGAGGCGCGATTTAACTGATTTGCATAATGATTTAAACATGATGACGTGCAAGACGGCCGCCTGGATCAGAGTACGTCTCGGCGCTGGTGCAATATTGCAAGGGTAGCGGACTGGAGGGGATCTTACCATGTTCCTCCGTGTGTCAAGGCGAGCAGAGATGGCGAACCCCGTTCATCATCATGTGTAGAATACGCTTGTCACATCCGACCCGATGTGCGACGTGGTCTTATTCGATCCCATATGCTGATTTCATGCACCGGTATTGTACCTCTATTTCTAAACACGGTCGTTCTTACGCCAGGGTATGACTCACTGACACGAAGGAAACCACCACTCCGATGACCCGTACCCGTTTCGGCGAGGCTCGCGCGCCCGATCCGGTTACGCCTCGTCCACGGTCCTTCATTCACGCCGTGCCGGTCCCATTGCGTCGTCACTGTCTGCCCGGCGGGGTGCGAGACAGCCTATTCGTCCCCGCACCATATCGGTCACCTGGTGCAGCGTTTGGTCACGACCGGCCCCGCCCAATGAACAATGAGGGCGGTCCGTGCGGCCGACAGTTGTCTCACGACGCCTGACCGTCCTACAACTGCTGGTGATCTACTCTGATAGCCGCTGACTGGACACGGCAAGGGTGGGCATGGTACCTGTGAGTCATGTGACAATGTCCCGTAGCTTTGCCGGTCCCGTAGCTCAGTTGGTAAGAGCGTTGGACTCCGCGTGGTGAGAGCACGCGTTCCCGGTTACAACAGTCCGGGTTCGAAGCGCGACGGGCGCTTGACATTTATGGGCCCCCTGACAGGTATGGTTGCGGTTGGTGGCAGGCCGTAGCCAGGCGAAGTCAGTGAGGGGA